CCATGGCTTTCCCACAGTGACCAGCCCTCCCTATAACAGCCCTGGTATCCTGTTTCAGCAGTTCACCCAGGACTTTAGTGCTCACTGCTGCCACCCCTGCCTGGTCTCCCATCCCGTCTATTCTTGGGGCTGGGAGAACAGGGCACTAGACTGTCTGGTCACTCCCTGCCATCAGATCCCAAGGTGAAGGCTGGCTTCTGAGGTCACTGGCAGGAAAGGCCAGGAAAGGTCCAGTCTTTTTCAGGCTCTGGGTGACTTAGGAGAGGCCTCCTTTCCATGGAGCTCCAGGGCTGGTTTGACCTTGGAGGTGGATGGCTTCTAGGGGCAGAGAATGAGGGCCCCACTGGCCCTGCATGGCACAGCCAGGGAGCAGTTCTTGGGACTTAGGGCCATTGGAGGGCAGAGCAGTGTTGAGCCCATGGCCATAGGTACTCTCTGCCCCCCATGTGGGGTAGCAGGGCTCAAACGGGACCTTCTAGCAGGCCCAGGCAAACTGCCCTTGAGCAGGTGAAGCAGGCAAGACCAAGCCAGAGGTAGCAGATCAGGCTCAGCTCAGGGCCCACCCGTCCCAGCTGTTGCCTGGGGAGTCCTCCCCCCTCCCCTCAAGTCCTCTGCATGTGCAGAGGTCATGGGTGCTCCTGGGAGAGGGGGAAGATGGGGGGCAGGCTCCTCCTTACCTGCATGGGCCGGGAGCACATGCTAGTGAGCACCTCCTTCCGGGCCAGTGAGTACTTGTCATCTCCAAATATTTCAGTCAGACTTTTCTAGGAGAAAACACATGTGATATACAGTCAGGCTTGGGGAGAAGGTTTGGGGGCCCTGTCACCTGCGGAGCATCTGAGACTCAGTTTTAGGGAGGGAGAGTCAGCTGAGGTGCCCAGCCCTACTCACATGGCCATGAGTGGGGTGCAGGGGCCAGAGTCCCCAGCCTGTGTCCCACACTGGGCCTGCCTCATGGACAACAGCTTGGAGGTCAGTCCTTTCACAGGTAGCTGGCTGGCCCGGACAGACTGTTTCCAGCTGTCTGACCCAAGGTACCTCTCCACCCATCCTAGGCTTGGGGCACAGGTAGAAATAGCCTCTCTCTTGGGGGATCAGAGCTAAGGCCATGGAGTCCTCAGCTCCATGAGGCTTAGCTCCAGGCAGGGAACTCTCGACACTGCTTACCATAAGAGACATGCTCTGGCTTCCAATGACCCGGCCCCTACTGAAGGCTTGGGACAAGCCCAGCCCATACCTGGCTACAGGACCCTTCCCACAGCTGAGCCTCAAGGGCTTCCCTCACCTGGTCCTGGAGGGGAGCTAGGCCCACGGCCAGGGCCTTGAGGACTCGGAGGCCTTCTCCTCAGGGCCTCCTCACTCCCCTGCAGGGGAGTCCTGGCTGAAGGGGAACGGGCGCTGGTGGGATGCAGAGGCTCTCACCGCCCACTTCCAGGCCTTCCTTCTCCTCCTCCCAACAGGGCCTCTTGCTGCCCCCCCCCCCC